CCCTCCTCCCCCTGCTCCATGCAGCTCTCCTCCCTCCCCCTCCTCCTGCTCCATGTAGCTCTCCCCCTCCTCCTCCTGCTCCATGCAGCTCTCCTCCCTCCCCCTCCTCCTGCTCCATGCAGCTCTCCCCCTCCTCCTCCTGCTCATGCAGCTCTCCCCCTCCTCGTGTTCGATGCAAGCCCTGCTCAGTCCTGGTGCCCTGGTGGCCATATCCACCACTGCCCACACTCTCCCAGTGGCCTCTGCTGCTGTCCAGGCCTACATTTGTTGCGTGTGCACAAATGCTCATGTTGTCATTGTTATATTTGCCCAGGAAAAGGGCTGCTCTTCTCCATAGCATCTGCTCTAGACTTCCCCTCACCTTCGTTTCCACAGAGGACCCCACATCCCCTTGGAAGTCTCAGCAAGCATCAGGGCTGCCCAGGTGATGGGCAGTTACCTCCCTTTCTCTGAGGTCCCCTGGCCTACAGACTGCTTCCTATGCGCTAAACATTACAGTAATGGTGGCAGGGGGTCAAGTGCTAGGTACAGTTCTAGGTCTCGTCACAAAAGGCCCAAGCACCCCTAGTGTGCACACACCTCACAGACACGTGTGCATGCAAGCTGCTGAGACCCGCCAGCGGGCCCTGCCCCTGCAGCCCCTCCCAGGTCCTCCCACCCTGGAGACCCCTCACAGATGGCTTGTTCTCCGCTCCTGGCTTGGGTGGTTTGTGTTTGTTTTTAATCTTCTGCTGGTTTATTCTGAGACCATTGCAAACATGAAGGAAGTACAATGTACCCTAGATGCCTTTCCCCAAGCCCACACAGCATCACCAACTGAGGCAGCCGCATCTCTAGGCCAGACTTCTGGACGGACCTGTGATTCCACCCTCTCCCCAGCCCTTGTCTCTGAAGACCACAGACAAGCTGGGTGCCCATTTCCCTCCCTGGGTGTCCTTCACCCTTCTCTATCTGAATGGCCACTGCAGGCTTAAACCAGCCACAGAAGCCTTGAGCACCGCGGGCCTCTGCTTCCCGTTTCTCTTCCAATTAGTAGGTATGGTTTGTTGTTGCTGCTGTCGGTTGTGGAGCTTGAACTCTGGGCCTGGGCGCTGTCCCTCAGCTCTTCAGCTCAAGGAGAGCGCTCTACCACTTGAGCCATAGCTCCACGTCTGGTTTTCTAGTGGTTTATTGGAAATAAGAGTCTCATGGACCTCCCTACCTGGGCTGGTTTTGAACCATGATCCTCAGATCTCAGCCTCCTCAGTAGCGAGGGTTACAGGCGTGAGCCACAGTAGGTATGTTTTTCACCTCACTTTTACCACTAAAATTTGGATTGCACTGATATTTTTGCCTGAATCAATCACTGCTGCAATGCGCTGAAGACATCGACTATGGAGGTTTCTCAGTACTGATTCGACTTGTGTGTCTACTGCGTGGCTGGCAGGGTCCCGCTTGTTCGCAGGGCTGAGAACCATTCTCTAGCAAGTCCGTTCAGGGCTAACAACATCGTGCATCTGACTGCGGACCCCGGGGCTGTGCTGCTGTTGGGATTTCCCAGTGTGTCTGTCCTTCTTGCATTTAACATTTTCTGCCCCTGTGACGTGTAGCTGTTCTCTTTGTGAACACTCCAGTGATCTTAATTAGCACAATGAGTGCATTCACACGAATTATTACTACTGACGGACTTGACTCTGTGCTAACTGACCGGGGTTGCTTTCCTATTTTCTTGTCTTTCCTGCTGTACTGGCTGTACTTTCCCCTTCCTTCTTTCCTTTCCATTAGTTTAAAAGTTAAACCCTAGTTCTGCCTTGAAGTGAGATAATCAACCTCCAAAGACAATAAGAACATTATAGCTCTCGAGCACGACTCACCCTCTTTAAATCCATCCTACAGTAACTGCGCACTTATTTCTTCTCTTCCTCACTCGATCTCTGTCTCTCTGTCTCTTTGTCTCTCTGTCTCTGTCTCTCTCTGTCTCTGTCTCTCTCTGTCTCTCTCTCTCTCTCTCTCTCTCTCTCTCTCTGTGTCTCTTTTGATGCTGGTCCTGGGCTTGAACTGGGGCATAACTGCTGTCCCTTGAGCTTTGTTGCTCAAGCCCAGCCCTCTCCCACTTGAGCCACAGCCTTCTTCCAGCGATTTCATAGTTTATTGGAGATGAGACAGTCAAGCCTTTGCTCTGGAGGCCTCCTTCAAACCACAATCCTCAGATATCAGCCTCCTGTCATTGTGAAGCCACTAATGCCATGACGTCCTACACACAAACATCACCTCCACCACGACGTCCTCCACATCACCTCCACCACGACGTCCTACACATCACCTCCACAATGACATCCTCCACATCACCTCCACCATGACATCCTACACATCACCTCCACCATGACGTCCTCCACATCACCTCCACCACGACGTCCTACACATCACCTCCACAATGACATCCTCCACATCACCTCCACCATGATATCCTCCACATCACCTCCACCATGATATCCTACACATCACCTCCATCATGATATCCTACACATCACCTCCACCACGACATCCTACACATCACCTCCACCATGACATCCTACACATCACCTCCACCAT